GAACTAGGTGTTTTCTTTAACAAAATAATAATTAAGAAATATGCACCGAAATTTGCCTCGACGAATACTTGAACTTGAGTGGTCCAGGCATACGTCCACTGTCCTTGACTATCTAAGCTAGGCTCGGTTCATTGCTTTAGATTTACATTATGAGCTTGTAAATGGTCTAAAGTTAAAGTCAACAGCTTTTTATGGCAAGGTGTTAGTCACTTCGAATTGGATCAGCATATGCTGTACCTGCAATGCAACCTCAATAGCTGTTGCAAGTTTATGTTTCATCATTTAGCATCCTTCCAGCATTTTCTGTCAGAAATTACATATATTTTAAACAAGTTTGCTTTGCTTGGGTGTCTTTGACATGATCAAGCCTTAAGTGACTACTTTCAAATTTGCTTGATTGTTGCATCATGTGATTCCCTATCATTGTTTGTTTGAGCTGATTTTTTATAATTTTAACTAGCTAGCCTGGGGCAATATATTGTTTAATTATTTATAGACTACATTATCTTGCTTGTGCTACTAAATTAGTTGCATTGTTTGGTTTTTGCAGACCTTGGCTTTACTCTTCAATGTTTTGGGTGATGTGTTTGGTAAGAACCCTCCGGTCTCAAATCCAAATCCTGTGGAGGCATCAGAAATTGCAGACATAATTGACTTCTTGTAAGATATATATTTTTCTTTCCTGATATGCACTTTTCTCATCCCGCGCGAAAGTGTTACTGCGTATAGTCATCTCCTTATCCATCTCAATACCATGATTTCCTTCTCATTGCTAAACAGGCATCATGCGGTGATGTATGAAGGTCAAGGGGGTCCTGTTCAGAGCACGAGCAAACCCAAGCTGGAGATACTGACATTATGCGGGAAAGTAATAGAAATTTTGAGGCCAGACGTGCAACATCTTCTCTCCCACCTGAAGATTGATCCCACCTCGTCAATCTATGCTGCAACGCATCCAAAGCTCGTTCAAAACCCATCCTAATGTTATAGCTTACAAGTGTATTCTAATGATGCAAGATGCTTGGAACCACTGCAGAAGTCTCAACATGATGATGTAGGAGTAGGATCAGTAGAATTACAATAACTGTAATGTATCCTCATCCAACCGGAATCTAGATCTTACCCTAATGACTAGAGGCATATTCTCAAGTAATTCGGTGTTGTCAGTTGTATCCTTTAGCTAGAATGCTGTAAATACTAACAGCTTAAGCGCGTATTAGGACATGCATAATTACATTGTGTAACCATGGAGGTTATCTTGCCAGGCTAATAATTTTGGCTGCCTTGCCTGTGAACCATGCGACATTTGTATCCTGTCGCATTAGGGAGTGAGCGATAACCGACACAGTCGCATGATACAAGATTTTTGCCGGTTGGTCGATTGTCACCGTGCAGATCTCTTTGTAACAGTGCTGCATGTGTGGAAGGTTTGTCCGAGGAGTGACTGCATCATCAGTTAATTAATAGTGTATGTGTGCCATACGAACTGTGCAGATCTTACGCAATGAATTGACAACGGCTTACACGGAGTCACGGACCACAGGGCGGCCTCCTAATATAAGTTTCTGTTGTCGATATCATTTGTCGTTTTCCAGGTCGATAGTCGAGCGACTTTCATTTATCTTCGTACTTTCTAAGTTCTGCGATCCCCCTCAATCATCTGATAGAACTGATATCTAAATTGTATCAATTGCAAGGAGCCTCTAAATTAGGTCAGATTTAGCTTAAAATTTTAGACCGATTCTATAGGTGCACATTATCTGTACGACCCTTTGAATAGGTGACCTAGAGAAAAATTTTACAGAGTTAATAAATTGGTTAAGAAAAAATGAAGCTATAACATGAGTTCTTCAATTGTAAAATGAAGCTATATAAAGGAAGTCGCTGTTGAAGAAGGTCCAAAAGCCGAGATTAACCCTGAACACACCTAAAGCCCGTTTCGATCCTAGAGGGACTAGAAGAATCCATATATTAGATAGAGATTTTGGGAATCTCGATTTGAATAGAAATAATCTGATCTGTTTGAATTCCCAGATTATACTCTTGATAGTGGATGCATTGTAGAAAATAAGTGTCTAAATTTTTTTTAGATGGTTCTGACTGAAGCAAAGAGTAAAATTATCTTTTCCCATCTTAGAATCTCCCAGAAGCTCATAGAGAAAGGATATTGGATTGTTGAATCCCCTGAAGCTCATAGAGAAAGGATATTGGATTGTCGCTTTGCATCGCTCGAATACATAGTACAATCTCCTAGAAGCCTCGCCGTTTGGATCAAATTCTTATTTTTTTAGCCAGATTATAAAATCACAATTGGATCCAAAACACTCCCCGATAAGGCAAGTTATGAAACATCTCTCTCTATATATAGAGAGATATTACATCTTACATGATCAACCTAAATTTATGATATCCAATCTTATACCCTGATCAGTAAGTCTATGTCGATATAGTGATGCTATAGACTAAGACAAAAAGCGGAGCGATGGTTTCATTGCTCAAGGCACCCTTTAAAGTATGAGATAATTACTAGCTTTAAGACAACTTCTTTAGTAGTATTAACTTTTAACATATATCTCATAGTATGAGTATCTTCACATGAAAACATCATATAATCTTGAGAGATGTGCATGAACTAGAGCCTCTTTGGGAGGCCTCCAAACAGGGCTGCCGGAGCCCTATCAAACAACGTCTTGGGAAACAGCTTCACAAGAGGAGCGACATTGAGCTCGAGCCGTCTCCCTGAAGAATGAAAGCAACCTGAGCTCTACCAAACAACCTCTTGGGAAACATCTTCACAAGAGGAGCGACATTGAGCTGGAGCCGTTACCCTGAAGAACGAAAGGAGCCCAAATTTGTGGCTCGGCTCCGCCTGGAGGTCGCACAAGCAAAGACCTTGCTGCCCTCTTCTGTCTTCTCTCCGGCCAGCCAGACGCACAGACGTCAGACGGTCGCGTGCACTGCGGAGGTAGTCTGGCCAGAGGCCCGGCGTGGCGCCCGGTGGCTAGGGTCCCTGGTCGAGGCAGTATCAAGTGCGGCGCTCAGCGGCTCTGCCTCCGTAGGCATGTAGCCCGTCTACCGGCGGCCGGTGACCTGGCCTCTACAGAGCCAGCGATGCCTATCTGCGACACCAAGCAGTCAAGCACCATGAACGGTTTTTTTCTTAGCTTTTGCCAAAAAAAAAAAGAAAAAAAAATGCGATTCTAGCGTCCCGGACATCCGGCGCGTGAGTGCGTCCGGACGCCGGTCCCTTCCCAAAGCCCGCGCCGACACTGTGCGGAACAGAACGGAACCCTGCCCGCCCCCCGCGTATAGAACGGAATAGAATGAGACCCGCCCCTATCCTCCGCTCCCCACCGCACCCCTGCCCCGGCCCGTTCTCTAACGCACCCCGTTTCCCCACCGTGTCCTGTCCTCAAAAGAGCATGAAACACTTCAAGTGCAACCTTGCAAACATATAAAAAAAAACTATGTAGTAAATACTGCAAAATCGCAAAAATATGTAGTGCAACATTGAAAAACATGCGCTGCAATATCGGAAAATATGTACTACAACAACGAAAATATGTACTGCAACATCGAAAAAATATGTACTACAACATCGAGAAACATATACTGCAAGAACGAAAAACATGTACTACAACATCGAAAAAAATATGTACTGCAACATGAAAAAATATGTGCCGCAACATCGAAAAATTATGTACTGCAACATATCAAGCAGTAGTGCTGCAACATCGCAAAAACATCTGCTGCAATGACCCAAAATCCCATTGCAACATTTAAAAATCATCTGTTGCAACATCAAAAAATCCATCGTAACACGGGAGAAACAAAAAAAACGTACAAAACAGCCCCGCCACGTCCATCAGATTCAGAGGAGGTGGTGGAGGAGGGCTCGGATCCAGAGAAGGAACGACCTACCTCGTCGGAGCCGCCGTCGTCATCCTCATCTCTGGTAGGGGTCGCATGGAGATCGCGGAAAGAGGGAGAGAGGGAGGGACAGAGACCTGGCGCGCGGGGGCGGCCCGAGAACGGCACGGCGCGGCAGCGAGTGGGTGCGGAGGAGCGGGGGGAGAGCGGGCGAGTGAGTGGGCGCGGGGAGTCACGGGGATAGGATAAGGAGTCGGTGGGCGCGCTCGATCGAGTCGTTCCGTGTGTGGGTCCGTTCGGACGGGATGGACGACCGTACATTATCAATATCGGAAAAAGTAGAAAGTGCTATAATTTCTTGAGGCATTCACGTGTCATATACATCTTTGATTAGGTAACACCTTAGAATCTTTTTAGTTGTTGAATCTTGTCCAACCATGTGTTTTCAAGTGTATTACCAAGTCAAATACACAAGGGCAAAATAGATAATTGATCTCTTTTACCCAACCAGAGAAGCCGCTTTTGTAGAGGACCGTTTCGAAAGAAGTTGGAGACCTGCCAAAGTGATCCTAACTCTTAACCTAGAGATAATTTTCCTTTTTTCTTTTATTATTAAAATAATATGATTAAAGCTAGCTCACAAGCTAACCATATTGGAAGCGTCTATGTGATATATTTAAGATATTTGAGATTAATTATGCTGAATCATGCTGATATTAAAAATGGAGATCGATTGGGAAGACCGGTGTTCCAACGAGAAAGGAGCTGGATTCAACCAAGCTCCTCCACAGCAGGTCCAGTACACGCATCGGACCGCAGGCAAAGCACAGGACCCGCCGTTCAGCTGAGCTGAGGACTGAGGCCTGAGGCCAGTCAGTCAGTCAGAGACGGCCTCACACGTGCGACTCACCCCGCCCCAGCTCCGCGCCACGTGGGCGCGGCCCTTTCCACTTCGGGCCGTGTCTATTAATCCCCCGCGGCGCGCCTCCTCTTAAATTTAGGCTTCTCCTCGCGCAGAGTCCTCAGGCTTCACTCGTGAGTGTGAGTGCATCGCCGGAGAGAGAGAACGCAATCGAGTCAAGCACGCTCTATCTCTTCGGCTCTCTGTCCACGGCGGGAGAGCGAGAGAGATGGGCAGGCAGCCGTGCTGCGAGAAGGTCGGTCTCAAGAAGGGGCCGTGGACAGCGGAGGAGGACCAGAAGCTGGTCACCTTCCTCCTGTCTCACGGCCATTGCTGCTGGCGGCTCGTCCCCAAGCTCGCGGGTGCGGTGCATACGCATGATCACCATATCCTTAATCAGACACAAATGCATGCAGATGGACAGTTTTCCTCACATTAATTTCTTCGTTCGTCCCCGCGCGCAGGGCTGCTGAGGTGCGGGAAGAGCTGCCGGCTGCGGTGGACCAACTACCTGAGGCCGGACCTCAAGAGGGGCCTCCTCTCGGAGGAGGAGGAAGCGCTGGTCATCGACCTCCACGCGCAGCTTGGCAACAGGTGGTCCAAGATCGCGGCGCGGCTCCCCGGGAGGACGGACAACGAGATCAAGAACCACTGGAACACCCACATCAAGAAGAAGCTCAAGAAGATGGGCATCGACCCCGTCACCCACCGGCCGCTCGCTCCCGTCGCTCAACCCCTGGCGCCGCTGACGCAGCAGCGCGATCCTCCGCAGGCGAGAGAGGAAGCACGCTGTGACGAGCCCAGCAAGCAGCAGGCGTCGTCTCAAGGGCCGGCGGCGGGCGCCGACGAGAACGAGGACGAGGAGGAGATAACGCCGGCGAGCGCCGCCCAGCCGCACGGCGCCGGCGCGACGACCTCCTCCCCTGCCTCCGCAGCGGCTGGAGCCGTCTCGCCGTCCTGCTCCTCCTCCTCCGCCTCCGCCTCCGCCGCGACCCCTGGCACGGATGTCGCCACCTGGCCCGACCCCATCGACCTCTTCTTCGAAGTGGATGGCATCATGGGCATGGACTGGGCGGGCATCCTGTCCGGCTGCGGCGATGACGCCGCCGCGGACATAGGCGTCGATCTGTTCGACCAATACCCCGGCGATGGCTTCGACGAACAAGTCTGGATGTACACTGGTGGTGGCGGGTAGGATGATTAGAACTGTTGTTACTCGTGATCATATCTCTGTTCTTGCAGTTTGCATGTCCCGTTTCCTCTCTTCTTCTTTGGTTTGTTGGGTCAATTCAAGTTCGTCCGAGTCCATGCATGCATGGTTTTCTGGTATGGAGAGAAGCCGGGTGTGTGTGGTTCGTGAAAATGGAGGAATGAAATGTGATTGCGTCAAGCTGTTGATCTCAATCTCATGGCTAGGGATCATTCTCTGTTCATGAGCTAACAACTGTCAAATCCTTGTCACCACTCACCACTCGTGTACAGTTCAGTTCAGGAATGTGAAGTTTCTGATGATGTAGCGGGCTACCTTCCACGGTACTATCTTCAAGTACAGATTATTAGCCCTGGGAGGACAAGGTCAAAACACAGAAATTAATTGCACAAACCACCAACCAAATCAGATTGAGATGATGCCTGCTGCAGAGACTCGACAGTAGTCCCAAAGCTCGGTGTAGTAAATTTGAATGTCCATTGAAGCCTGCAAAATGACCCTTGTATTAAACCCTTTTCCTTTCTGTGATGCCTGAACAAACTTTTCCTGTTGACCAAACATTCCTCTGTACTGCGTTGACCCTTGAAGCAAATAAAAAGAAAATCTCGATTCGACCTTTCATGGTACTATCCTAGCCAGCTGTGAATCTGTGATGTCCGAGGTAGTAGTTTATATTAGTGTAAAATAAGGCGAGCACAAGGTCACTGTGGGCTTGGTTAGCTTATTATGATCCATCCATGAGTAACAAGGAAGAAACGATTTAACGATCAACAAGTCCGGTTATAAAATTCAGGCTTGTTTGGATGAAGGACTCAAAAATGTGTCTGGGCTAAGTAGCTCATGCATAATGTCGACTTCCAGCGTCTGAAGCTAGATCGATCAGTTTGAATGGCTGAGCCCTGATTACGATTCAAACAAGCCTCGACAACATATAATACTTAGCATGATAGCATGTTATGAAGATACGGCTATCACCCCTTCAAAGCTCAAACCATTTACTCCTATATTTGAAAAACGAACTGCATATCTGAATCCTAATGCTTGAGTACTAGTCATCATCAGTGACGGTATCAGCTCCAGGAGTAGGAGACGAGAGTGGTACACACACGTACGCATCAGCGTTGAGTGAACTGCAGTCACATCGATCAGCTAGCTGTCAGGTCAGGCACGGTTGGTGCCCGGTCGCCGGCGTCCTACTCCCAGGACGATGCGATTGGGCTCGCCGGCTTCCATTGGGTACGCTACAGCCTACAGCTACACCGTGCCTGATCCTAGGCTAGTTGCTCTGCTCAAGTGGTGATGTGCCCGAAGCCGATCGCCCGGGCGGCGAGACAGGGAGGGAGCTTTGCCGAAAGCGACGCTCCCGTTCCATCGGCCTCTGCAAAAGCCAAAGCTAACTGCCCGGCCCGCCATTTAGCTGCCGCTGCTGCTGCTGGCCGGCCACCACAAACACAAAGCCTGTGTTGTGCTGTGTTGTGTAGTCGCCGCGGGAATGTTTCGACTTTCGACTCTATCGCCCTGCCCTACCCTGCCTCCCCGCGGCGTGACCTCAGCATCGCGTCGTGGCTGCGTCACAGGTTTCGCTTCGAGCGAACAGTGACCCATTAATTTTCCCCCTTATGTTTAACAAAACATTCACCGCCCGGGGAATACCAGCTGGGGTTGCACCTACGAGAATATAGCATGCACGCAAATCTCCTTATTCATTTATTTGCTTTGGTTGGTTTTTAAGCGCGATAAGTCATCTTGATCTTTGATTTGTTGTGAAAGAAAAAAAAACATTTGTTGGTGGTACCGACCGAAGAAACCAATGTCAAGCGACGTCGTTTAATTATCTATAAAGAGGCCATTAAAGAGCAGGCACATAATTCGTAGGCCGAGAATAGAAAACCACACAACTCATCACTCATCAGTGTGCACGCATGATGACCGCATCTACGGCCAGCAGCATGTATCAGTACGCTGTACGCGTCGCAGGCTACCGCGCGCTACCATGCATGATGGCGGCAAAATCGTTACGCCGAAAAGCTAGCCAGGCCGCTCATCATCATCCACGACGACCACGACACATCATCCCCGCCCGCACGCCGCACGCCGCAGCAGCAGCGAGTCAGCGACGGATCGGTCGGAGTCGGTGGTGGCGCCGGCGCGGCGTGGCCCGAGCGGCCGGCAGAGCCCCAAGTGTCTCGCCGCGCCCGCGCGTACGTACGTGTGGACCTCGGCGCGCCTTTTTGCCTTTTCCCGCTCTGGGGACTGGGACTCGCGGCCGGGGACGGGGATGAAAAAGGCTTGGGCCGATCGTGCCGGAATGGCCCGAAATGACGGTGCCTTTCTCCGGGGCAAAGCGAGGCGGGGATGGATGTGTCAGGCGTTGCGCATTGCAATGATGGGACAACGAACTCGGATCTCGCCGTGCCCGGACGCATGGACCCACGTCCAGGTCCATGTACGCGAGGGCGACGAGGCCTCGCGCTCTCTCCCTCTCGCGCCTGCTTGTCGTGCTGGTGCTGCCACAGGTTTTTTTTTGGGTGCCTTGAGTGGAAGCGTGCGCTGTTGCATGCGTCGCGGCCATCCCGGCGCCCAGAGAAAGGTGCCGCCACCGCCATCGTATTCTTTGTTGGGCGGTGGTGGCCCGGCCGCGCCACGCTGACCCATCGCCAAATCTCTTCTACTCGTAGTGCCAGTTTAAATAAACCAAGTGAAGTTTAAACAAAATCCCAGTGAAGATCAGCTTTTTGAGGTATATATATGCAAGCCCCAAACCCATGGACCAAAACAAAGATCCCAGTGCAAGCGTGCATTGGTTAAAAAAATAACTAAGCGGTTTTTTTGAGATGTATATATGCAATTTGCCCAAATAAATTAAAGTGTTACTTTTTTCCCATTCCCAAGGCCAAGGCCGGCTGGGCCCGGGATGGAATCTGCTTTCACCTGAGCCGTCCACGGCTCCGCGCTGGTGCTCGGTCGCCCGCAGCTAGCCGCAGGTGCGGTTTCCGCGTACTACTAGCTAGTAGGAGTAGCATTTTCAAGCGAACCACCGACCGGTACTGTGGTCGACGGATGTGACGGCCGGCAAGGGGAATTGAGTTTGGTAGCAGATGGAAGCACCACAAGCCCCGAGCCGGCGCGTGGAATCTCGGAGCAGAGCGCCCGCCCGCGAGACGTGACAGGAGATCGAACCCTATCGATCGATCCGCAGCATGCAATGGCCCGCCCAATGGAAAAGCCATCGTACGCAATGCAACACTGTGCCTGCTGGCCCTGTGCGCGATGCCGCGTGTGCCTGCAAAGCGAAGCTAGCAAAGCGTGTGCTCGCGTCCAGTCATTTGCAGCCAAGCGGCAGGCAGCATCATCATGTCATGGGTCATGGCGCCATTCGTACACCCGCTCGATCCGCTAGCTAGTGGTAGTGGGTTTAGGTGCGATGAGATCGCTCCATTTCTGATTATTAAGTACCTTATCCTCCCTACCCATCCCAGCATTCCATTCCATTTCCATGCTCGGCGACCGATCCATCGTAACCCCTTACCTTTCTTTTCATCCACTATATCATTTCGATCGTTTTGATCACACAGGCTACGTAGTGCTTAGCTTCTTGCTTCTTCTACAGCTACAGGCCAGCAGAGGGCAGAGGCCACACGCCAAAGCCGTGCCGTGCATGCCCATAGGCCATATAGCGCTTGCGTTACGTGCCATGCCAGTGCCAGCACGACGCGCGCGGCGACCGTGATGCGCATGACGATGACACCCACGTACGTCGACGACCCGCTGGCCGCCGGGCCGCGCATCCCGATCTGGCTGCTGTGTCTGTGTGCGTGTGCGTCTCAAGCAAAATTAAAGTTCACTGAATGAATGAATAGAGAGAGCAGAGCACGTCAGCCCGTGTTGGCGACGTAGGAACAAGAACGTGATGATGATGACGAAGGGAATGAATAGTGCTCGGCAGCACGCTGTCGCATCGCCAGTTCGCCACGACGCCACCGTCGCACGCCTGTGCAGTGTGCCGTGCCCGTGCGCATGCACTCACGCACTGACGCACGGCACGTCACGTAGTGCGAAAACACGTTACGTGGGTTGCGAAAGAAACACCGTACCCTGCGGCGCGCGGGGCGGACGTCGACGGAGGCGCCAGTACTACTGGATGGGTATCATCAGCTCTGTAATTGCCCGGCCCACATACAGATGGGTGCCTTGTGATTAGCATCTCACCGTCTCACGGGCCGCTTCATGGCCTATTTAGTAGCCCAATGGTGCCGTGAACGTGTCTCCCTACTCGAGAGGTCCCTTCTACCCTGTGCACGGTAGTCTTCGAAAAGAAAGAAAAAAAAAAGCTAGCGTCTGGACGTTCGGCCTTAAGCCCGCGGTCGGATGCAGCTCCGCTGCACCTGTCTGGTCCCCTGTGTAACAGAGCGCACGCCGCCCACATAACAGGGGAGCCCGCCCGCTCACCGTGCTCGCAGGGGTATCAACCTCGTCGTGCCCGCGTCACCTCCAAAGCCAGGTTTTGCATCTCCGTCGCGTGGGAGATACCACAAGCTTCTGCTCTAGGACCTCCGACGGGGCCTGCGGAGGGACCATGTCGTCGACGGGGATGGGCCGCGTGCGCCTGCGCGTCCTCCGGTGGAGCGCTGCCACCAGCTTACCGCCGCCGCCGCCATGCTTCCCCGCACTAGCTCTCTCTTACTCGCTAAACAACCTCTACATTGAGATCTACTTTTACAACACTTAGATAAAACAATTAAAACATTTGGAACATACATTTGCAACATAGTCATTGTAACATATGCAACATCCAGATATAATACTTGCAACATATGAAACATGCTGTTGCAACATATGTGTGAAACACATGCAAACATCCGGATCAAAACATTTGCAACCTATGTCTGGAACCGATGAAACATTTTAAACAAAAGCTTGCAATATTCCTCTGAAACACTTGCAACATGTGCAACATCATCGATCTACTTTTGCAACATTCATAA